TAAACTGCTTGAAATATTAAAACATAAAGGAATAGAATGGAAAGAAAGAAGGCTGATAAGAAATTTGTATAGGGACCAAAGAGTGATAGTGAGAATAGGGAACAAGAATCTAAAAAGATAGAGCTTAGGATAGGAGTGAGACAAGGGTGCTGCTTATCTCCTATATTATTTAACACTTATCTAGAGGAAATGATAAGAGAAATAGAAACGGAAATGAAGGGTGTGAAGATTGGTGGAAGAACAGTTAACTGTGTAAAATTTGCAGATGATATGGCAGTATTAGCAGAGGACCAGGAGGATTTAGAAATATCAATTAAAAAGTTAGAAGAAGCATGTAAAGCATATGGAAAGAAAATTAATGCAAAGAAAACCAAGGTTATGAGCATAGGAAGGAAGGAAGATATTGTGGTACGTATAGGTGGTGTAAGGGTAGAATAGGTCAACACTTTTAAATATTTAGGTAGCGTTTTAACAGAGGATTGGAGATGTGAGAAGGATGTGAGGGTTAGAATAGGCATTGCAAAAGAAGCTTTTACAAGAATGAAGCGAGTTTTATGTGGATCTTTAGACCTAGAATTAAGGAAAAGATTAGCGAAATGCTTTGTTTGGAGTATGCTGCTGTATGAAGCTGAAACTTGGACATTGAGGGAGCACGAAAAGAAAAGGCTCGAAGCTTTTAAAATTTGGATGTGGAGAAGAATGTTAAAGATAAGTTGGACGGGTAGAGTAAGCAATGCAAAAGTTTTGGAAAGAATAGGAGAAGTAAGGACTTTGTTAGAAAGAATAAAAATAAGGAAAGGAAATTGGATAGGCTATGTACTAAGAGGACATGATTTACTAAAAGATATGATCGAGGGAACAGTGGATGGAGAAAGAAAGAGGGGAAGAAAAAGGGTGAAAATNTAAGTGGACTAGGTTAAAGACCGTGATAGTTGATTCAGCAAGACAAGTAATAGGATTTAAAGAAAATGTAAAAGCTAGGAAGCCTTGGGTTAGTGAAAAAATGATTGAAAAGATGGATGAAAGAAGAAAATGGAAAAATGTCAACAGCGAGTTGGGTAAAATAAAATATAGAAGGTTAAACAATGAGTTAAGGAGAGAGACAGAAAAGGCGAAACAAGAATGGTTAGAACGTCAGTGTGAAATAATAGAGGATTTAGAAAAACGTGGTCGGTATGATTTGATGTATGGAAAAGTAAAAGAACTAGTGTGGTTGAAAAAGAGAGGTGGAACTGTGAGATGCATTGAGGCAAGAGATGGAAAGAGATTAATAGAAGATGATGATGTAATTAATAGGTGGGAAGAATATGTAACAGAATTGTATCCAAAGGAGGGATGCTTAGGACAAGGTACAATAGAGGATGAGAGCAATGTAGAAAGGGAACGGATAGGGTTTTCAATATTAGAAAGTGAAATAGAAATGTCTCTTAAAGAAATGAAAAGTAAGAAAGCAGTAGGAGTAGACGGTATACCCGTTGAGTTTCTCAAAAGTATGAAAGATAAAGGAAAGAAGGCTCTAATCGATGTGTGTAGAGAAATCTATGAAACTGGTTTGTGGCCAAAAGAATTTTTAGAATCCTTGTTAATACCTATCGAAAAGAAAGCAGGGGCTAGTAAATGTGAGGATTTTAGGACAATTAGTTTAATTTCACATGCGGCAAAAGTTTTATTAAGAGTAGTAAGTAGGCGGTTGCAAGGTAGGTTAGATGGGTATCTAGGAGAAGAGCAGTTTGGTTTTAGGAAAGGAAGAGGCACTAGAGATGCCATAGGGTTAATGAGAGTCATAGGAGAGAGGTTAACAGAAAGATGTAAAAGTTTCGTGATTTGCTTTGTAGATCTGGAGAAAGCATTTGATAGAGTGAATTGGGATAAACTGCTTGAAATATTAAAATATAAAGGAATAGAATGGAAAGAAAGAAGGCTGATAAGAAATTTGTATAAGAATCAAAGAGTGATAATGAGAATAGGGAACAAGGAATCTAAAAAGATAGAGCTTGGTAGAGGAGTGAGACAAGGGTGCTGCTTATCTCCTATACTATTTAACACTTATCTAGAGGAAATGATAAGAGAAATAGAAACGGAAATGAAGGGTGTGAAGATTGGTGGAAGAACAGTAAACTGTGTAAGATTTGCAGATGATATGGCAGTATTAGCAGAGGACCAGGAGGATTTAGAAATATCAATTAAAAAGTTAGAAGAAGCATGTAAAGCATATGGAATGAAAATTAATGCAAAGAAAACCAAAGTTATGAGCATAGGAAGGGAGGAAGATATTGTGGTACGTATAGATGGTGTAAGGGTAGAGCAGGTCAACACTTTTAAATATTTAGGTAGCGTTTTAACAGAGGATTGGAGATGTGAGAAGGATGTGAGGGCTAGAATAGGAATGGCAAAAGAAGCTTTTACAAGAATGAAGCGAGTTTTATGTGGATCTTTAGACCTAGAATTAAGGAAAAGATTAGCGAAATGTTTTGTTTGGAGTGTGCTGCTGTATGGAGCTGAAACTTGGACATTGAGAGAGCACGAAAAGAAAAAGCTCGAAGCTTTCGAAATGTGGATGTGGAGAAGAATGTTAAAGATAAGTTGGAAAGATAGAGTAAGCAATGCAAAAGTTTTGGAAAGAATAGGAGAAGTAAGGACTTTGTTAGAAAGAATAAAAATAAGAAAAAGAAATTGGATAGGTCATGTACTGAGAGGAGATGATTTACTAAAAGATATGATCGAGGGAACAGTGGATGGAGAAAGAAAGAGGGGAAGAAAAAGGGTGAAAATGCTAGATGAATTAGCAAATAAAAATGGGTATGTGTACCTAAAAAGGCTTGCTAGCGATAGGACAGAGTGGAGAAAGCTATAAAGTATACAAGTTATAACTGTTATCCTAAGAACCTGCTCAAGAGCAGAAAACTTATGATGATGATGATTGTCAGCGTAAAACAGAATCTTCTTTGTTCCGACAAAGCTGTTTAGTATGCTTTAGGTTCTGGAACGGCGAACCACCCAATGCCTCTTCCTTTGACTGCAAGAACAGTTAGAAATCTTAGTATGTCAATATGCATTGGTACTGGTCTTATTTGAAGACAATTGTCTTGTTTATCAATCGCTCCGCCTGAACATCAACCGTTAATCTTACGAAGTGGAAAGAAACCGGTGTTATTTCCAAGATCGAAAGATGGTACAGCAATTAACCTGTTAACCCTGTTTTTTCGCAACAATTATATCAATGCCTTAAATTCGAATAATGTTGTCTCAACCCAATACCATGCCAATGTCTTTGATTGAAGGAGTGATCCATTTCGAGACAAGTAAATTTGTTCAACTTGCGGTTGCATTGGCACTGTCGAATTGATCGAAATTTTCTTCGAAGAGATGAGTCTTTGTGTCTCATCTGCCAATTTCGATCAAGTTTACTCATCCGAAACAATATTCTGAATTCAGAATTTTTAACTGATTTGAACCAAATCAAGAAAAACGCTCCGGGAATTCTACATCCCTTTTGACCAACTTTGATTGATGCTTCTGTCACGATAGACAGTACATTAGCAATGTACAAAGAAGAGATTCAATTTTATTGCTGAGAAGGATTATCTCTAACTACCATGATCATCTGTATTTCCAGTAAAGAATTATTTGAGTCACTTGCAAATACACACATCAATGAACAATCTCTATTAACGATATTTGTATTCTTCGAATTCATCAGAGAAGACGTTGAACAAGTAAGGCTTCAGAAATGCGAATCTAAAGTTAAATTTTTACTTACAAGTTTTTACGCATCATACGAAAAAGTGCCTACATTTCAGTAAGAAAATATGCCTTTAAATCTCAAAGAAGTTTTCTTATGAAAAATAGTATGAAGAGATTCAGAACGTCGAATTGATCAAATAAAATACTAGCCTTAGTGCCATTCATATTCGTCATAACGAAAGAAATGCCGTCCACTATATTAGTTAAAAGAGCCAACTCGCATTTTTCGTAATGCTCTCAGTCTTTTTCAACGGATCTATGAAGTTAAACGGAATCATTTGTTGGAATCACAGTTGGACGAATAAGAACTGTAAATTTCACTTTTTTTTTCAAAAAGCTGTTCATTTACGGTGGGACAAAATACAAGGAGAAAAAGCGTATTTCTGTATTTCAGAAATACATGTAAATACCTATTACCCTTTCTCAATCTCCTTGCCGTGGCAAGATTGGAACACCTATTTTTCGATGCTAAATTAAATCTACCTATCAATTTCCGACTAGTGTCACAGAAGTTTCAATACAGACGCTTTTGATGACTAGAATATCGAGAGGTTTCTTTTAATAAAGTGTGAATCGATTTGACTTCGAGAATGTTGTTCAATTTAGCTGAAATCTTAGAAGTGAATGGAAGTTTGTCTCTACGAAACAATTGCATTCGATTTGTAAGAATCCACGACAATTCCCCGAGGTTTCATTTCATGAAAATCTGTTGCAAACAAGATTTTCGTGTAACTATGAAGTGAAGCTATCCAATCGAAAAAATCTATACAATATTTTTTTCAAACAAGTATTCAGAACTCAGTATTCACTGGTGTCTGCTTGTATTCTTCTATTTCTGAATACTATTACAAACGGTGAAAAGACTCGTTAACATTGACCGTCTCTGGTGTCCGTTCGAAAACTATTTCACAGTTGTGATGACGGTTATAAAAGTTTTTTTCTCTAAATTTTATCATTTCTCCCTAGATTTCAGTCAGAAATTTACCGGTTTGAGCTCTGCATTGTATGCGACTGAAAATAATTTTAAAATCCATTGAACGTGGTCTTTTGTTTTATATTGCAAAGCGTTGTTTTTTTTTTCGTTGCATTTTGCTTCACTTTAGGGAAAAATTTTGTTTGTTCGAGCATAGACAAAACGAAATTGATTAAACATAAATGCAAGAAATTGTCCATCATATTAGTGATGAAGCATGTATTTTTTCTTTAGAATCAATACAGAAACAATCGATAGATGAACCAAACTAGGTTTGAAATCATCAATCAAAGGTAATTGTCACTCCAACATTTCGAGGTTTGATGGTGACACTAGCTAGATGTCCGTCTGCATTTTTTTCCGGACCACCATCACCAAATGTGACATATTGTATTAATCTTGCTGCAACTACTTTTAATTCAAATCTAGCTAAATCTTGTCCAATACATTGTCGATGACCACTACCAAATGGAATCCATGCATATGGATGATGTTGTCGATCTTGATGTAAAAATCTTTCTGGATAAAATTGATTTGGATCAATTGACCATAGTTCAGTGTCAACTGCAAGATTATAAATTGGAATAAATATTTGATCGCCTTTAAATAATTGAGTGCCACTCATTGGTAAACAATCGTCGTTTGTTAATGTACGATATGTACCGGTAAAAGGAGGGGAATAACGAAGTACTTCTTTAATAACACAATCGAGATAGACAAGTGAGTCAAGTTTTTCTATAGATAAATCTCGCTTGACATTGTTATTCATCAACTCTACTTTAATTTTCTGTTGTACTTGAGGGTATTTACTTAACAGATGAATGAACCAAGCTAGAGAAGTTGCACCTGTTTCAAAACCAGCAACCAGAAACAAGAGCATTTCATGTAATACTTCATTTCGAGATAGACCTATTATCGATTAGAAACAACACAGAATAGTACATTACTTAGATAAGAATACATATTGAATCGTTAGAATATCGAAAGTAATATTATTTGTATCTTACCAGTTCTTTCCTGTTCGCTTTTTTTTCCTTCAATATATTCATCTTTTTGTAATGAAGCAACCAGTGAAGCAATTAATGATGTTCTCTTTCGTTGCATTCTCGATTCTTCACTTTGATCCAATTCATTATCAATCATACGACATAGATATCGTTCAATAGTGTTTTTGACTTCTCGATGTCGATGACTCAATTTCATATAGATCAGATTAAATATTCTCGGTGAATAAGTTACCATTTCAAGTATACTCAAATAACTCTCTAAAGCTTGAGTTAATTCATTCTTATTACCATGATCGAATGTGTCCAAATCATAGTCAAAAGCGATCCAACCAAAAATAGCAAGCATAAGATTTTCAGATTGTTTTACAATATCACAATGCACATGTTCACTTGGATATACACGCCAATTAGTCAACAATTTATCAATACAATCAACAATGACATCGAAATGTGGAATTATTTTACTACGACGAAATAATGGCAATGTAACTGAAGCATGTCGTTTGTATTGTGCTCCTAAATATGAGAAACCATGAGTGAAATATTTCAGAATATTTTATATGTACCTCGAAGACAAATTAATCCATCAGAGAACAAAGTGCTAAATAATTGAATGTATATTTCGCCTTGATCATAAATATGACGATTAGTAAAAATGTGTTGAATATCACCGATTTTGTTGACAGCAATGACACGAGTCGGACCAAGCCAAAATTGAAATGTATCACCGAAACGTTTTCGAAATGACAAAAAGACTTTTTGAGGTGATTGATCATAAAATAGAAGACCAGATTGAATTAAATTTCCGAAGAAAATATGTGGTGACAATCCGGGTACACAACCATGAATCGTAAAATATTTAACTTTATAGTAAGTTAAAAATAGAGCAAGTACGAAAAAACTCAATATGACGAACATGTTGCTTCGTTACAGCTACGCAGTTATCGTTTTGGTGTAAATAATAACTAGCTGTAAAGAAATTTGCATTCTAGGCTCTCTTATTTAGTTATCTTTATCAATGTCAATGTGCTTTGTTTTATTGCAAGTACTCAAAACATTGCTCTTCATTCGTTTAGACTTCTATAAACTTCCTTATCACTTAGCTGTTCTTTTCGTTTTTTTCGTCAAACAAACACCTATTAATAGTTGAAGTCTCGAATTTAGACAAAATATTCATAACCAAAATGGATCTTTATGATTCCAAAATAATTGGATGTATCTTTGTCGAGAATTATCTTATTTGTAAGATCCAATAGTTATTAAGACATCAATCAAATAGAAAATAAATTTCATTTTTGTATGTCGAGTTCTGATACAGATTCATGCGCAAAAAGCTGAAGATATATAGATGACATCTTCCCGACATTAAATGAATGTGAAAAAACATTTAAGAGAATGTTGAACGAAGTGAACAACAAATCATCAGTTTATGCTTTTTCATGCATTATAGAATACTTGGATAAGTGAAAAAAGGCATTACATACAACTATGTTTTAAAGTTCAAGCATCCAAAGAAATTGAAGCATGCTCAATCAAGTAACAATGAATAAAATTTCAAGACGAGAAGTTTTGGAATTTTGGAAGTTTCAGAAAGATATTTGTAAAACTTCTCTTGGTTCCAAAAGCTTAGTAATTGCTGAAATTTACGCGATTTCCAGATTTGTACCTGAAACTACTCTGAAAGTATGAATGATTCTAAACGATGGAAACTACAATTTTTGGTAAGGTTTGTTAAGATTCTCTCGGTTTTCTTTCACTTCGGAGTGATCACTTTCGAATAAAAGACGAGTCTTATCAATAGCACTTTATGCATATTCTATAGCTTCTTGATACCAATCAAGGCGTTCAAATTGTTTTGCTTTGTTATAATAATTCACTGCTAATTCTGAATAAATTGGTTAGAAAGATTCTTGTTGAACACTTACAGACTGTAGATAGTATGACAAGCACTTGGATAGTTTTTCATGAAATAATTCATTAGATCGATTTTATCAAAGATGTCAGCTAGTCTACTGTATCTCGATGATAGAAAGTTTTGTTGGATTTAAGATGTCTTTTGAAAATGTATTATTTATGTATACCGTCTTTATTATTTATTGTGATTCCTTAACAATAGATTTAAGAAGATGGTACGATTTAATGCAAAGTAGAGAGATTATAATACACTACAGATGAGAGTAGAATTTCAGATGAACTAACCGAGAACGATTTTGAATTTGGTATTAATGTTGACACGAAATTTCAAAGATTTCGAAAAACTTTGAATGAGAAGAAAAACGAACTATTGAAAGTCACAATATTATCCTATTGTTTAATGTCAGAAAGATAGCACAGTATCTCCTATTGCAAAGTATTCTACTCTCAATCCAGATTGATATTCTTTAGAATCCAAAAATCAAGACAAATGACAATGTAATTACTTTTGACAATTGGTCCAGATTTATATTTGGTGCCGTTTCGACTTCGATATACAGGCAAATTTAGAATTCCTGCATTCCAAATATTGAGTTGAACATATCTACTTCAGAATGTCTGAAAGATGAAATAGATATGCTTTCTTCTCAAACTATTCGTTTCGCATAAAATTTGTTCACCATTTCAACTAATTCAGGATCACAGTATTTTGAAAAGATCAAAAAGAAGGAAAATTTGTGGACAAACATTATAAAAATCAGTGAAATTATTTAAAAAAAGTGTAACTCTGATGTATCATGCGGAAAATTCGACTTTCGATCAGATAACGCATGTAGAGTTAGATATATGCTGTTTTTAAAAATCTCGCTCAATATTACTACAATGCTGAATAATATTAATTTAAATGAAAGTTTTGCCAGCAAAAGAATTTGTTCAACTTCTAGTTACTACATTTTGTTTGTTTTGAATTTGTTAGCTTAGGCGATCCTTCGTATATCTATTTTGATGCTATCAAAGAGCATAAGATGAGCGCTATTTTATCTGAGTCATTGTCATATATCGGTGATGTTGCTGAGCAGGTACCACTATTTTCTATTCCTCGTAGAAACTGTCCGAGTTCTTTTACCCAAAGATTTAGCTTTTATTCGTGCTGTGTTAAACATGCAACACTCTTTTGCATTCAGAAGACTAATAGACAAGCATTCGGACAATTCAAAGGTCCAAAACAGACTGACATCAAAGATTCGATTATTAATTTGAACGTAATTCGGTACGATTTGCCTATTCTTAAACATCAAGTTAATGACGTTAAAGATACATTGCAGATTTCTCTTTTTGACCGTGATACTAGACTTTCAAATAACCCATTTAATCTAGGAAAGGCTGATCATTGCGAAAACACAATGAAAATGATGAATGAGTCAGTAGCAACAATTGAATCTTTTTTTCGAAGAAGATAAGTAAAATCTAAGTAATGTGTAACAAAAATAAAATAAAAAGATCAACAATCTCAATCAGTTTAATGCTGTAATTGATTGAAGGTATTTATCTTCCATGTCAAATATATATATATATATTACTATTGAGAAAAGCTTTATTTTATTCTTCTTTTTTAATAGATTAGCATGTCCATACTATACATCACATGAATTATTTTCCCACAAGCTGTTCCAAAACATTTGCAAATGCTTTATGCATTAAAAAATATTTCCATGTGCTATTTATTTATCCAGACAATTTTGATACTTACGTGTAGGGATGCAACGGTGACGATGGTCCACCGGTCCACCGTCCATCGGTGCACCGTAGTACCGGTGCACTGTACCACCGGTGCACCGTAGTACCGGTATCACCGTACCACCGGTTCACCGTACCACCGGTGCAGCCGTATACGGTGCACCGTGTGCACCGGACAGGACATACTACGACAACTACAACTGTGCAGCCAGCGACTTGGGCATAAGTGTACT